ACGAGATGTCAAAAGATGGGTGCCGCAATGTGAAATATGTCAAAAATTCAAGTCACTTCAACAACAACCAGGTGGACTATTACAACCACTGAGCATACTAGACAAAGCATGGAAATCAATTTCCATGGACTTCATGGTAGGATTACCAAAATCTAATAGCCTGAGTGTCATTTTTGTGGTCGTTAATAGATTCACAAAATATGCACATTTCATGGCTTTGGGACATCCATTTGGTGCAGCCAAAGTAGCTCAAATATTCATGGATTCAGTAGTGAAATTGCATAGGTGGCTAGAGGAAATTATATATGATATCGATGCTATATTTCTTAGCAATTTTTGGACTGGGTTAATGAAGTCTCATGGAGTCAAGCTTTATAAGTTAACTGCATTCCACCCACAAACGGATGGACAAACAGAAAACTTAAATAAGTCCCTAGAGACCTATCTTAGGTGTGTTACAATACAAAGTTCCACACAACCATTCAAATGACACTATTTAAGGCCTTATATGGATATCCTCCAACATCACCAAATACAATATGGCAAGAAGATACAAGAGTTGAGGCAATAGATTACATCATCAAAATCAGAGAACAGATAAAAAAACACTCTACAAACCAGTTTGGTCAGATCTTAAGAACGCATGAAATTCTATGCTGATAAGAAACGTACTGACAAGGAGTAACACTGTGGTGATTGGGTATACTTGAAAATCCAGCCATACAGGCAGCATACACTGGCCAATAGCAACTTTCACAAGCTTTCAACAAGATATTTTAGTCCCTACAAAGTAATCAAAAAGGTATGCAAGGTCGCATACAAACTAAACTTACCTACGACGACGAAAATACATGATGTATTTCATGTATCCTTGTTAAAGAAGCGCCACGGCAATATTAATCCAATTTCTACTGATTTACCAACATTTATAGAAGAAGGAAATCTTGAAGTAAAGCCACTAGTAGTGTTGGATAAGAGAATGAAAAAGAAGGGCAACTGTGTAGTCACGAAAGTTCTGGTCCAACGGGAACATACTAACCCAGAGGATGCTGTTTGGAAGGAACTACAGAACATGCAGGAGCAATTTCTAACCATCATATGGATTTAGCATTAGTGGACTTGAGGGCAAGCCACATTTTGAAGAGGGTGATAGTTGTAATAAGTAAAAAAAAAAAATAGTTTTATTAGCAAAATTAATAGTTGGCTAATGTAGTTGTGGGGCGCGGGTTATTTGCTTAAGTCATAAGCAATTAGGAAATTGGCAAAAAATTGGTTATATATACACCCTTCTATATTCAATTGAGTTTTTCATGCAATGAAATAAAGTTTTCAGTTTCCTCTTCAATATTGTATTGAGAGTGAGTGAGGGTTTGATCTGAAATTCATATTCAGATCTTACACAAAGATATGCTACAATGTTGGTGAATACTTTCATTAAATACAAATTCACAGTTAATGATATGATTCTACTCATCAGTCACACAATCGATTTTCGATAAGAATTTAATTAATCTATGAACTAGTAATTTACAATCGCGATTCTATGAACATAAACTAATTTTATTTTCAACCACAGCAACCTAATCCTTAATCAAGAATTAAACTCATTCTTATTTTTCCTATGCATAATAATCATTATCAGAGGCAACTCATTAGAAATGCAATTGTAAAAATCTAAACAATTAATTCTAAAAGTTGAGAATTAAATGAAAAAGAGGAACCAACAACAGTAGACATTAAGAACAAAACCTCATACACGTTGTTAATCTTTAGTGGCCCTTGTACAAAGTAAAAAGACTACTCCTCCATTAGAAATATTCTAACTGTTGTTGAAGGACTTAAAAATTCAACAAAAAATTATAACAACAACAATAGAATAAGAACAATGGAAGAAGAGTAGAAGAAGGGTTGAATAATAGTTGCAGGGAATAATGATTTTTGAAGGTTGAAAGTGACCAAACCTACGAGAGCTAGTTTAGCTATCTAGAAGAACCAAAAAACATAAAAGGAGGCTGCCTACAAATGACCAAAAAGCAATAATGGAGGTTAGTTTAAAGGTGTGCCTCGAATTTGCTGCTGCTATTTTTATAGCCAAGTCATGGACTTTTGCTGGAACGAGAAATGAGCAGAAAACAGTATTTCATGCTCGTAAATTTAGCTTAAGCGAGAAGTATCTCACTTAAATAAGATTTGACCAAAGAGCACCCTTGATTCTCGCTGAAACGAGACCTTCTTCGCTTGAGTGTGAGATAAACAGAAAGCAATCTTCAAGTCTTTATGGCTCACTCGAGCAGTAATGGTTTCGCTCGAGCGAGAGGTGATCAGAGTCTCATTCTTTAATTAGCTCTTCTCTTCTTTGCTCCCATGCTTAATGCTCTTCTTTGATGTCCTTTTCGTGATTGCTTCTTGAGTCTTCCATGCACCAAATTGGAATTCCTGTGACAAAATCATACTTTTAAAGAACAAGTTATTACGAGCACGGATCCTTTCAATGATAATTATCTCGTAAAAATAGTGTAATTGACTCAAATACTTCCTAAGATACTTGAGAAGACATTAATCTAATTTAATCTAAATTCATCAATCTTAATGCTTAAATGGATGCAATAATCCTCAAGTTAAGAGGGTAAATAACATACAAATAATGACTCATCAATAAGCCTTATGACTTAGTATGAGTGTTTAATAAAACTAGTAGGTGTGTAATATATTGAATGTAGAGATTTTAGCATGATAAGTTTTTGAGCCATATTTCTTGAATGTGTTATAAAATGTATTCTTACTTGGTTTAGTAGGATGCTGATGCAGATGCATTGATGGAAAATTCTCTTGAATGGAAAAGGATTATTAATAGAATTAGTCAGAACACTCCCATTTATTCACCGTACTATGTTAATATATACAATCTGTATTTATATAAATTAAATTCTATCAGAATCAACTGAAAGAAAGAAACAAATCAAGAAATTATCTCCTAGTTGATTTGATCATATATAGCTACCTAAAATAAATTCAATTTAAATTCTTCAACAAATTATATCTAAACATATCAAATCACATCACCCTCTCAAATTGGTGCATGAAGATTATGGATGTCCAACTTGCTTAATAGAGTGAGAAATTGTGATCTCCTAAGGGCTTTAGTAAACAAGTCAGCCAGTTGTGCATGAGTGAAAACATATACTGATTGAATGTTTCCAATGGTAATCTCCTCTTGTACAAAGTGATAATCAACTTTAATGTACTTCATTTGATTATGAAAAACTAGATTCTTAGCAATATAAAACGTCGTTTGCTGGTATATTTGGAAGCATAGAAATGAAATTATTTTTTTTAATTGTGAATTGAATGCCCTAAAAGTAATGGAGATAATTAAATTGAAGACATGGCAAGCTCTTGCAGCTCATGCTAAAACAGTCTGCTTCTCATTTCTTGCTTGGTGCTCTAAACCCGTTCTTACCATGGAGTTGCTCTTTCCTGCATGATAACAGGGAGCTATTACTTCAGAGCATATTTTTCTTCTTATTATATAGGACAAGGTTAAGTCAAGGAAAGATTGTTTGTTTTTGGGTTGATTTGTGAGACTTAGTATATGGTACTTAATACTTGTAAATTTGGATTAAGCACCCCTAGTGCTTAATTAATGAAACTCTTGTGCTTATCAAAAAACAAAAAAAAAAAACAAAAAATGCCGTTTGCTATCATAGTAAACAGACATGGAATGAGAATGAGGCACATCAAGACAAGATAACATATGTTTCAACCGTTTTATCTCATCACTGTTGAATAAGATGAATAAAAAAGAACAAATAAGACCAACAACCGTATTCAATGGCGATGTAATAGGAGTCTAAACTAAAATGAAAAACAGTGTTTAAATATCATTTTTGATAGACCGTATATGTTGGGGTGTGGAGGAGAACTGGCCTTTTTCCTCTGCTTGATATATGCGATATTCTCGACAACATGTGAATGAACAGCTAATGACAATTTAAGTTGGCGGACCTATGAACTAATGACAACTTCATGCATTAAACTATATATCTGTCCCAATTAAACTATATTTAACCTTGGTGTATTCAAAAGTCAGTTGAGTACAGTGAAGCTTTTTCTTGGCGTGCATCAATTATTTATTTGGCTACCATCATGAAAGATTTTTTTATTCCAAATATTTTGCAAGTTGTCTTTAGACTTGAGGTATGCATGGATTGGAATCATGTTGACGACGTGAAACTAATGATAATATATTGTGGTTTAATGTATTTAAAGTTGATTTCGGTCTCCCAGCTATTATAGTCTTCGATATATTATTTCTATATCCTATGTACTTTTTGTTTTCTCGATTTGAGGAGCAAACATTTATCAATTATAGAATAAAAAGACTTAAGGTCTTTTAATGTATGACTTAAAGCATGCTAGTATTAGTTGATATTATGAATTTTATTTTTGTCAAATGTTTAGTGTAACATATAATAGTATAATATTTATATATTTATGCACTTGTATATATAACATGCATAGTATACTTAGTGGATATTCATGGCAATTTTGATCCAATAAATTCTTGTTTGTAAGTAGAAGCGTATTTTATTCTTTTTTATTTTGTTAAGTTATTTTATTCTTCTAAATACATTTTAACACACCTGTTTATACTAATATTTATGAATTGGACCTAGTAGTCATTCTATTTATTACGTTTCTATTTGTTACGTATCTCACGTAACATGAAAATTAGCAATGCGAATAACATCACTTTTTTTTGTCTTTTTTTTATTTTTACTTTTTTGTTTTTCTTTCAGTTTAATCCAGATTCAATCAGTCTATCATTGAAAATTTTTTATATATACAGTTCTTTGTACAATTTTTATATATACCTCTAAATTTATGCAAATCTTAATTAAAGAAAATATGTTTTATTTTTTCAGCATTGGTTCGAAAAGTGGTCCACCGGCAACCATTTTCTCTAGTATATATAGATAGACCTTAACATTACGCAAACCAGAGCAGAGGATTATACCAAAACAGCGGTTTCTGCCAGAGAAGAGCCAAAGCAGAGGAGCAATCAGGGGTTTTCCACAAGTAATCTCTATTTGTGCTCAGGTTTAATTTGTTTTTCATGTTTTGCTCATTTTTTCGTAGCTTCTTAATTAGCAATTGATATTTAGGCAACATATTTGTTGAGTTATTGTCTAGAATGAATCACACTTGTATTGGAACTGCTGCAGTTTTATTTTCATTTAAACGAATCATCGGATCGGATCGGTTCAAGCTTGGTCTAATCCGATCCAACCCGTCCATTTTTCACCCCTAATTCTGACCCTAAACTCTGGTCTAGGGTTTTAACGTTGATCCTTCATTAAATAGTTCGGATTAGAGTTTTAGCTTTTATCCTTCGTAAATTGCTCAGATCTAGAGTTTCTATCCAAATTTACCTGTGAAAAATAAAACTTCACCCAACGTTGCTCCTTTTTTTCTTCTTTCTTTTGCCAAATACACCCTTACTTATTTATCTCTCATCTCAGTTACTCTATTTTTTTTTTTATAATTCTCTTTCATCCATTTTTCAATTCATAGGGGGTATCTGATTGGGAAAAAATATTTAATACGGTCTAAAACATTTAAATGAATAATTATTTGTAGTGGAATCAAATTTTTGAAATAGACATATAATAAAAGACGAAAAAAATACTATTTTTTCAAGGATTTCTATTGGCAAATGCTACTATCTTGAAGTGAGAAACTAGATGAAGGAAAGAGTTATTTTGAGTGGGAAGTGGATGGCTTTGAGTTTATTATTAATTAGATGCAGTTAGAACTTTTTAGTTATTAATTTTTTATTAGAAAAATTATGTTTCTTGATATCCCCTTAGATGTTTCACAAAATATTATCCTTTTCTATCTACCAAATGAAAAATTGGTCAATTTTCTCTAATTTGAGGCGGTTTCTTACAACCTTCCTTGTCAAACTGCTACAGTTTAGCATTTTTTTTTTTTTATTGTGTAGTGTTAGGCAACATTTTTCACTTGTTGCTAAGACAACATTTATTTGAGATTAAGGTTACTTGTTGCTAAGACAACATTTATTTGAGATTAAGGATAATACTTTTAAAAAAAAGTGCTGTGTGTGTACATTTTAGGCAATACCTTTAAAGCATTACTAAAATAAAACGTTGGAGGAGAATTGGATTTGATGTTTTGTTTGCTCCTTTCTTGCATGAATTTCGAGCGTTTTCATTCACGCTAATGTTGTCGACTAGCTATTTTTCTGAAAGAGTATTTGGGGATACCATTAAATCAGCTACTCACCTGCCACCAAGTGCTAAATGCCCTTCCTCTATGAAAAAAAAAAAAAAAGGCATACCATGCACACATTTAAAGTTGGTGGTAACATTAGTGGCAGATTAGTGGTGTCTATCAATCTTTTCTCATTCTTTTGATAGGTGACACGATGTTATTATTATTATTATTATTATTATTATTATTATTATTATTTCTAGTAGTAGCACCAACGAACTCATCACACAAAGTTTTTATTTAGAATTGAATAAACTAAATTTACTAATACGTATATCTATTTGCAGGGAGAGTCATCCAGCGAGTTGAAGTTGCATTACAATGAGTGCAGGTTCCAGCAAACAAAAGCCAGGTCCCAGCAAACAAAAGCCACCAAGGGAGCCAGATTTCACTGAGCGATTCGAAGTTCAACCTAGAAACAACAACCAGTACCACCAATTTATCGCTAGGGTGCGCCAGCGAGTAGTCCCAAACCCTCCTGACCCTACTTCTACTCCTCACTATACTCATGGTCTTCCTGCGCTTCTACCTGAACAAACTAATCGGAGCGAGATTCGACTCTTCGATTTGGTATTAGGGGCAAATGATCAAGATGGGAATCATCACACTGTCAGACTCCGATTTAGAAGGGACAATCTCTACCTAATTGGTTACCAGATGGAAAATGGACAATGGTTAGAGCTAGACAACGAAAATCATGAGCACTTAATTACAGATGCAGAATGGTTACCCTTCGATGGCAGCTACGGGGGATTGGGAGCAGCTGCTGTTGAAAAGAAGAAAGCTGCTGATGAAAAGAAGAAAGCTGCTGATGAAAAGAAGAAAGCTGCTGATGAAAATACGCAAGAACACATGGGTGTTGAAGACATCGCCGTTGGCTCTGAAAGCCTAAGAAATGCCGTAACTCAACTTGCTACATCTGAAGCCGATCACATTAGGGCAAGAAGTTTAATGGCTATAATTGTGATGACTTCTGAAGCACTTAGGCTGAATCACGTACAGCAATTCGCGGAAGAGAATTACGAGCGAGGAAGAACGATTCGGCAGGGGATGAATGGAAGAGATTCACGCTTCACACAACTTGAAGATGAGATTAAGGATTGGAGTCACTTATCAAAAACATTGTTTTTCTTGGATGCATGCCCCTCTAAGCCAAACAGCAATAATGTCTACCAAAGCGGCGGCAAAGAGTCCACCTACCAAAGTGCACTGCAGATAATAAATCAATGGCGTGGTATTCAAATTATCATTGCATTGTTGGGCATTGTCAAGTATTTTTGCTTCAAACCGCCGCCGTCAGAACCACGGCCACGCAAGCCCAGGGCGGCCGTGGAAGATGGAGGTGATGATGGGCAGTGTATTGTAATTGGATCAGAGCTTCTCGAGGTGTTCTCGATACGTATTGACAACAATTACACATATGCACGCGAGATCTATGGAATAATCACAGCTACTGATGCACTAAGGACCCAAATAATTTATAACAGCTCAAAAGACAATCCTGAGTACATCAATCCAGGCCCAAATGATGTTTTGCTTAGTGGACCATCTGAAGAAGCCATCTCGGCCCTTGGCGAGGTTACTATCCAGTTTCTTCTCAAAGAAAAGGGCAGAAACGACGGCAAAGAAGTCATCCTTCAACAAGGCTTGTACTGGAGTTCCTTCAAATTTGGCAATGTGTATGACAAACCCACATCCAAGGCATTCAACATAGATGGGGGTCGCCTGATCATCAAATATGGCGTGTCTAGACATGCAGCTGCTGCCAAAGTGAATATATCCAAGTTTCAAGGAGGGGAAAACACAAGTGAAGTTTATGGGAAGGTTTCGTGTTTAGCTGGTTGGAATGGTGCTGATGCCACAAGCATCTTGTTTCAGAGAGAAAAAGGAGATCGTGTCACAGTAAACCGTGGAGAACTCATTCCATTGTCGAGATCCATTGTAGTTGTACCATTGAGCAGCTCCACTCTCAAAGTCACAGTGCAGGTAAATCATCACAACATGATATTTCCTGATGTTGAACTTGCTAATGACACCATCCAGCTTGAAACAAAGGAATCAGGCTCAGATCAGAGGGCCATCCAAGAAAAGGATCCTGCGTTCTTCACTCCAGATGATTCTGTGCTCTTAATGGTTGTCGATTGGGCAACTCCAATTTAATTAAGTGCGTAAGTAGGTGGTGGTGACGGCATCATGTGGGAATATCACTGAGTGAGTGATAAGTGTCTAATAATAATGCTATTTAATTAGTGTGCAATAAACATGTAATCTTTTAATTAATGTGTTATATTATCATATTAAGTGTGTGTGTGTGTGATAAGATTATCTTGATGTAATATGTAGTATTTAAGTGTGTAATAAATATTTTTATTCTGCGTGATGTTTGATGTGGAAATATATATATAATTTTGTTAATCTCAAATTTTAAGACTGAAAATAAATGATTAATAATAGTAAAATTTTATTAAAAAAATATTTATTCTATTTTTATAATTTTAATATAATAATTATTTTTATTTTTTTTATTTATGAATGTTGAAACTCAATCCTAAGAAGTACGTTAGCAAAACTTTTATATATACTAGGCACAACACACCTATGCATGTCGGGTAATTACCTTTTTGTTATTGGAGTTCCATCATGTAAAATGATATAATACGGGCCCTATGGGTACATGTCTTGCTGCAATGGGTGACTTGATCCACAATTTTGTTGATTGTTGTCACTGATCTCCTAATAAACTATAACGGCATTTAATAATCTATCGAGTCAGTACACAAATTCGGCTATAATATGGGGATATGACAAGTTTCTCTCTCTTGTCTTTCTCTCTCTCTCTTTCACTAATTATTTCATTTGAGAGATCATTTCATTTCAAGGGCATTTGTGCTGGCCATAAGGAACACAATTGCATCTTTGACAACAAGTTCCACAAGCTCTTTTGCATAGGTTTGGCCGTGATGATAACTGGCACCTCACATTGCATGCAGCATCACAATCTAAATCATAACACGAAAAATAATATTTTCATAACTCATATATAAAATATATGCACGTTTTAATGTAAGAATACTTAAGCATTGACCTTTATATAAATGCATCTTGAGATGAATATATAGTTTACATTTGGACCAGATTATTAGTTATGCGCATTAATCAATTAATAAAAAAAATGTATGCGCATCTTTTTTAAATTTCCATTAAGAATTCAAAATTGATAACGGTATAGCAAAGAATTGATCAATCAAAATAAAGAATTCGTACCAATGTTTGGTATGGAAGAAGTCTCCTCCATGGTGTTGATCATCGGCCGTTAAAGTAAAGCACACAGCAAATTAAACCATTTTCATTTTTGACAAAATAAAAAAATAAAAATAAAAAAAGCTAAATCTTGAGCCATGACACAAATTGTGAAATTACAAAACATACATATGATGATCAAGATTAATTAATTGGTGTGCAATAAAAAAGGAAAAAGAAGTTAATTATGCAATAAAGACAAGGTTAATTACTTACCAGTGAACCTGATTTGACGAAGTGGAGAGTGACAAGAGAAATAAGAATTGCGACGAACATAGCCTTAGAGAATGCCATGGCTAGCTAGCTTGGAGAGGTGAGAGTTTTGTTTCTTTGCTTATTGCTTAATGACTCTAATTAGTTGTAGCATCGAAAGAGAGAAAATAATGCTGCTGTATTTATAATAACCCAATATTCCTTCATGAGTTTAGTATCATTGAGATAAAGGAAAAAAAAAATGTTGTCACCAGCTTAGTGTCTTTGCCTTCAATGGCTTTCTCTTTTATGTACTTAAATATTAAGCCAAATAATACAATTATTTCTTGTTTATCACTCTCAATAAACTCTTGGTATAGTAAGAAATCATTAGAACCAATAACATATTGATTGATTTGATTTGCAACTAGATTTGCATGTGCGATGCACATAGATTAAGTATAGTATTGAAAAGGTAATTTATTAAGCAACTGATTTTTTTTTCTTTTAAGATACATGACAGTTGTCCAAGAGATATTCAAAATATTACAATTTTTTAAATTTATTTACGAAAAATCGCATCATATCACAATTTATATTAGAATTTATGTAATGACTGACCCAATAATTATAATATTCTTTTATTAATTTATATTAGAATTTACGTAAGCCTGTAGATGCATCTCAGCCAATTGGTGATGAGAGCCTATTGAATGGGTGAGTCACGAGTTTCCATTAACATTGCTTTTTTATTTTTATATTACTATTGTTAGGAAATACATGTAAAAAATTAGGTTCCAAGGGTTTTAGCTTACACAAATGTCCTATTTTAATTAATTGATCTAGCTTCATAGGTTCAGACTTCATAAATGTAAAGCAATAAAATCTTGTTTACATCATTTACAAAACTCTGAAAACAGAAAACAACTTGAAAAAATTGAGGTCATTGATTATTTAATACTTAGACGAAGTGAAAATTTGGAATGTGTCTCCATTGGGAGAGCTACAAGATTGGTCTTGAGAAAGTCTTGGAAAATTTATTGAACTTGAAATGGCTTGACCTGTCCAATAATAACGAATTAGGATTGGTTTTAGGGTTTGTGCTATTCCGTTTGACCCACATGCAGTACTTCGATCTTCGTCCTCTTGTTTGGATACAAGTATAACTATAAGGATGAATATACTTGAATGTTTTGAAGTCTATTTTGTGGTCTTATCCATTCCATGACCTTAGAGAGTGGGATGTTGTTTTCAATTTTTTTCTTTTCTAGAAATTCAGTAACCAACTGAATATTTTGTTGTCTTATCCATTCCATGACCTAGACCCACATGCAGTACTTCGATCTTCGTCCTCTTGTTTGGATACAAGTATAACTATAAGGATGAATATACTTGAATGTTTTGGAGTCTATTTTGTGGTCTTATCCATTCCATGACCTTAGAGAGTGGGATGTTGTTTTCAATTTTTTTCTTTTCTAGAAATTCGGTAACCAACTGAATATTTTGTAGTCTTATCCATTCCATGACCTTAGAGAGTGAGATGTTGTTTTCAGGTTTTTTCACAACGCTTAGTAACCGTTTCTGCCCACTTCCTGTACGACCAAGAACGACCTTGTGATGGGCAAAGTCTATTTAAAGGGTTGTGCAATTTATTTTGGTTCCCTAAACCTTATTTCTCCGTCAGAACATACACCATCAATTGGAAGAGATAGAGGTTTAGAAGATCCTTAACTTTGTGTCCCTGCTGTTGAAGAATCAGAGGAGTATAGAAATAAAAGCAATGGTTGGATGTTAGTAATTGATATTTTTTTACTTCCGCTTATCTGATGATCTAAACATGTTTTGTCAATCTGCTAGCATGTTTAGATCGTATTTATATTACAATATTTGGTATCCACACTTTGACTATTACAATACTTCTGTGGAACAAATATTAAACATAGCTTTTTGCCCCAAAATTGTAATATTTGACTAGTAGGAGACATTGAGGATTTTGACTTTCAATATTCTATTGATCCGGACAAATATTAATGAATATAAATTTGCCGATTGCCCCATTTATTGCCTGCCAAGAGACCTTGACCTTGCTTGCATATATATAAGAATAATCAATGGGTATGTTTAGGTAATGATCTATCACCTTCTTCATTCTTCTTTGGAGACCATTGAGATTGAGGATTGTACAAAAACTGAGGAACTTGTGTTGTTTATCCGACCTTCCTCATTCTTCTTTGAAGACCATTGAGATTGAGGATTGTACAAAACTGAAGAACTTGTGTTGTTTATCCGACTCTTGTTGTAGTGGGGAGTGGTTGAATGGAGCATTCTCTTGACTCAGGGATTTTCATATTTATTTGGGGCTGCCATCATGTAAAGACAACGCCGGAGTAGTAGTGACGATGATTCCAGCATTAGACTCCAAGTTAACAAGTTTGTGCTTGTTTTCTCTGCGACAATTGATGACCGTGTGCAAAAGGATAATATCGATCTACATCCATAATAGACATCCAATTCTGTCCCAGATTAGAAAGATCACCCTCAATACAAATCTTGTAATAATTTCTGATTTTGATTCTTACCCTATGTTTGCATTCTGTGTTGAACTTAGAAAGAGTATTAGTAAATGAGTAGCTATTTGTTTTCTCCATGGCAGCACTTATTGTGACTGTGATGTTTTCCAAATTATAGGTGGATTGTGTGGCAGAGATTGAGAGCTTCCCTCGTATGGATTCCCTTCCTCTTATTATTTCTATGCATTAAGTCGCTATCCTTTTTTTGGGAAGTGGTGAAAAATTATATATACATTCTTAAAACTTCTCAGCCAGCCAAGGAGTTGTTACCTTATCAGATACAACTAAGACTATGATCTACAACAATCGTAGTTAGAATAATACTCACTGGCAAACAACAAAGGTATTGAAATTTCCAGGAGAACCTTACACTGCAACTCACCCTAATCTAATGTTAGGGTTATGCCAGTGTTTTAACTATTTGAGGCTAAAATTTCACCAATTTAAAAAAAAAAAAAATTAAAGCGAAGTCACCCTAGCGGAGCACATTATTGACACTCATAATGTCCGGTGGATAAAATAGGCTTTAGACTAATTTTACAACATGCCCTTCACCAAACTACAGTAGAATAGTACACTGTGCAAACACAATTGGATGCTGATTTGCAACCATTCATTTGTTTCCTTACTTTTATTCTCGCATTCATTTCAATTTTACTTGCCTAACAATATTTATCTTTTCATTGTATCGATGAAAGTGATTGTTAATGTCTAAAATTATAATTGTATGAAAGAGATGATTTTTTTAGTTTATTTACAAAATCATTTTTTGTAATTTAGTCTCTTATAATTACAAAAATTTATATATTATTATGATACACTATAACAACATTAGTTTTCTTTTTTGTTTGACAAATAATTATCTAATGTGATAGATTTAAATTAACTTTTAGTTTTTATATAAGACTCTTTTGTAATTTACTTTTTATAAATTAAAAAAATTGTATATTAATTTCTCTATAAAATTTCATTTTTAGGAGTATTTTTCATATTCTATTTCATATATTTTGAATTTATGACGTTGAGTTTTATTATAAGTTACCGTTATTTCGCTTTAAATTTATGTAAAATTTATGAACATAAATTAACTAAAAGACTTCATGTTTTGATTCATCTATCACCTCTAATGTTTTATTCATGCATCAAAGAGAAGTAGCTGTGAAACAGCTCAAAATTGGTGGTGGGCAAAGGGAAAGTGAATTCAGGGCACAAGATTATTAGCACTTACTTCATCATCATCTGGTTTCCTTGGTTGGTTACTTCAAAATTGGCCAATAGTTATTTTTTAAAATGTCCACACTTGTAATGTTTGATATTTCCTTTTGGTAAACCACGGAAGAAGAACAATTTATAAA